AGGTGCCCGGTACCTTGAGTGGCTATGAAGTGATTTGACCTGTGGTAACCCTGGAATAGGAGAGGAGGCATGGTAAGACCCCAGGCAGTAGCCCCCTCACTCCCTTGGACCTTCAGAAGCATCACTCCCTCCCCCAAGGAACTGTCCCACTCTCATCCCAGGACCTCCTAACTGGGCTGAACTTGTCCTCCAGCCCCTGACTAAGAAGGGAAGTACAACTGACGCTGTCTTAACTGGGCAGCCCTAGGGTGGACATGACTCCTCTATAGACCTAGAGGGCTTCCCCACTCATAAACTGGGGACAGTTATTCACAGTCTGTTTGCAACCAGACTATCATCTGAAGATAAAGTCCAGAGTGACCCTGCCTTTTCCCCCACACTCCAGAAATCCTAATCAACCTCAAACCCAAGATTGAGTCTTGTCAGCTATTCCAGTCCCCTCAGGACAAGAAAAATGGCCAGTACCCCCACTCTCAGAGTTTGGGGAACCCAGACGAAAGTGTCAGGTTGAGAACACATGAGCAGAGGGATCACTCATGGCTTTTAGATAAAGTGAGTTTTTTTCCACCTTTAAAATCAATAATCATAATTGAGAGAACGTTTTTTAAGAATCTGTTATGGTCATGTACTATGCTGAGCACTTTCCCTTCATTATCTCCCACAAAAGAGAGGCCAAGAGCTATTTCATTCTCCATCCCAGAATCCTCAAGCTGTGGAAAAGAACCAGCCAGTCCCAACTGCTAATGTACACTCAAGGGAGTAAGTCTGGTGGCACACACATACAAAATAACTGGTCATCTCTGACAAATGCGTCTCTGGGGAAACAGATCACGTTTGTCAGATACACGGGGCATCTATCTCCATGGGTCCTCCCACAAGGCCTCACCTCTCTGGGGATCAGAGCCCACCAGACACCCAAGCACCAATGCGGGTCCTACAAGGTGAGGAGGAAGCACTGAAGGGCTGGTGCAAGAGAAAACCACCAAGCCCACTTCTTTGGCTCAAGTGTATGCCTTCAACATCGCTGTTGTTAGGTTGAGTCGGTACCGACTCATAGTGACCCTATGCACAGCAGAATGAAACATTGCCCGGTCCTGGGCCAACTCACAATTGTTGTCACACTTGAGCCCATTAATGCTGCCACTTTGCCAATCCATCTTGCTGGGGGTCTTCCTCTCTTTCTCTGACCCTCAACATAGCTCCTGGTAATTCACAGTACCAGGGTTCAAATCCCAAGCTAGACCACTTGCTAGGTGGATGCGCTTAGGGTAAATTCCTTCACTTCTCTGCCACAGCTTTCACATCTATAAAATGGGAATACTTACAGTATTTACTTGCTACAGCTATTGGGAGGAGGAAATAAAGAAATATGGCAAGTGTTTGGCACTAGCACTATTATCATGATTATTATTTTAAAGGCCAAACAGTGTCCTTGAAGATCCAAATAGTGTGGCTTTCAAGAGTTCCTGGGGTCGGAGGTGGTTTACTATAAGGGTGCCCATCGCAGTTCTGCCATGCAGCAGCTCTGTGACTCTTGAGCGCAAAGACAGCACTTCTCCAACCTTCTGGGGATTTGTTAAGAGGTAGACTTGAGTTCAGAAGGTCTGGGGTGGTCCTGGGACTGCATTTCCCACCAGTTCCCAGCTGAGGCCAATACTACTGGAGCATGGAACACACTGAGTAGCCAGACTCGACATGTCTATTAGCCTCTGCTCCTCCTCCACAACATGGGGACAACAGTGAGGTAACACCTCACAAACTCTGTGTGCACCTCCGTGCCACTCCCATAAAAATACACAAAATGAGGTGAAAGCTATGAATAGTTTAGAGGTTCCCAGAGTCACTCAGCCCTCACCACTGTGAACTGGTCCAAGTCTAGCCTAATCCCCTCCTGCTGTTGCATTAAAAGACCAGATGTCTCTGCTTCAGGTCTGGCTTCAAGGGCAAGAAGGTGGAGGCTGATGGGCCCATTAAAGGGCCAGCCACAGCTGAGTACAGGTTTGTTCTGATTGTTAGCTGCCATGGGTCAGCCCCAGTCCTGCACCATCCCCGTGTTGCTGGCAAACTAGAGCCCTGTGACCCAGAGGCTGGTATCTGGCTGATTTTCAGACATCACTAACTAGAGAGACTTCCTGAAACTTGTTCAGCATCTTAACAACTTGTGAACCACTGAGCAACCATGAGGCGCACTGACTGGACATCGAATCTGGCTCTTCTTTATGGAAGATGAGAATTCTGTCACTGAGCCTCCTCTGCACGCCACACCTAAAACCAATGTGCCTAGAATCGCACTTGAGAGCAAGGACCTCATCTCTGCTCAGTGCCCAGCATGGTCAACGGGTAGCTGAGGGATGCAGTTCAATGAAAATCAATCGATGTGCACAATAGCCAGTTACTCTAAACTTCAGCCCTATTACACATGCTTCTGCACGGTCCCAGTGTCCTGCTCTCTGGTCACTTGGAGGATAGTATGTGGTGCCACAGTCACACAAACTCAAAAAAATTTTTTTTAGCAAATAACCCTCAATAGCTGTATATCAACTTCTTAATTAATCCATGTATTACTACTGTACCGTTATATTACATAGAATACATGAAAATTGTTGTTAAGTGTTGAGTCGGTTCCGACTCATAGCGACTCTGTCTAGGGTTTCTGAGGAGCAGCTGATGGGTTTGAACTGCCAACCTTTGTAGTTCACAGTCCAATGTTGATCCTACAGCAGTGTTGATCCTACAGATCTGAAGGAAAGGTAATGTACCATCTGAGATGCCTGCTTTGGAGACCAGCAGTAGAGGACACTAGAGCTCACAAACCAGTATATTCTAGAAGCGCATGCCATGGACAGACACCTGCCTGGAGAGTGAGTAGGTGGAGCTGGGGGCAGGAGAAGGCCAGGCACCTGCACTGTGGACAAAACAGCCAGGGCATCCTGATGTTCCCCAAAGGGAGAGAACTACCAGTCCAGAGACAAAGAGCAACAGCTAAGGCTGTCTTTGAAACCCAGTTCTGCCCATTTAAAGCCATGTGACCTTGAGCAAAACATTTAACTTCTCTAAGCCTCCGTTTTTCCATTCTCTCAAATGGGGGTAAATATGGCACCTAGCTCGCAGGGTATGGTAAAGATGAAATTACGTGTCTCAAGTGCTGGCACACAGTAGGTGCTCAGTCAATAACATCTGTTAACTGGCTTTTGAAGAATTATTAAGCCAAGCCTTCCAAGGGCATTTACAGTCTGACAACAATATACCAAACGAGTGGGATTTACAAGTGAGTAGGTTGCTGTGTGGAAATTGAGAGGTACGGAATCATAATAAACCGTACTTGGCACCCTCTAATGGGCACTGAGGTTGGGCACGTCTACTGTGTTTCATGAGCTTAATATTCTTTTTAAACTGGAGAATTTTATAAGCCAACTGCTAATGTACACTCAAGGGGGTAAGTCTGGTGGCACATACATATAGAATAACTGGTCATCTCTGACAAATGCGACTCTGGGGAACCTATGACTTTGTATACAAAGCATCTCCAGGCTGTCTCAAACTTATAATGAGCACACAGTTGTGTAATCAGATAAATAGCAATAGAGATAGTTTCAAAAGAAAAAGGAAATAAAACAGAGAAAGTACCATAAAAATAGCAAACAATTCCATCAGCCATCAAGTTATAAAAAATACTATATATGGATTATGATTTCTTTGGTTATTTTTTATTCTTAAAAGTCCAAAGAGATGGCAATTAAAGAAACAAACAAACAGAATACCCAAACCAGTACCCTAAAAGCTCAAATTTGCGCAAAATTGAGGGCAACGCGATTGGGGTTGCATTTCAAGCAAACTGGTCAGAAGGGGATTTGAACCTTAGGAAAGCAGTTTTAAGGGGACTGGTTGTCTTTGCTTCTGTGACAACCTTGACCTCTAAGCAGCAGAGACAGGACCATGTAGGTCGCCTCCCGTTGGCCCCATCCCTCCCAGAGCCCTACAAAAGGTGTGACTAAGAAGGACTGGTCTGGAATGCTGGGACAGGGGGACTGAGGTGACAAAAGCTGGTGGCAGGGCCAGTGTAGAATGGGGGAAGCACCCCAACACTGTTGCCCTGTTTCAAGGCAGTGGAGGATGGGACAAGCTGCTCACACAGGGAAACTGTTGAGTCTTCAGCCCTGGGCAGCCCCAGCCAGGTTACTGAAATGGACGGTTGGTGTTGGGCACACGAGTGGAGGGGAAGGAGGACAGAGACAGAGAGAGACAGCCAGAGACTGTGAGAGAGTCTGAGGTACAGCCAGTCAGACAGACAGAAGGAGGAGAAGGGGAGAGAGATACTTACTTCTCGGTTTATCCGAATCTTAATGATTCCAGTGAGGAAACAGTACAAAGCAAAAGAGACAGATATTAGGCCAGAGGCAGATGGAGGTGGATGGAGCGCAGGAGCGGCCAGAATGGGAAATGGGAGCAGGGAGGCAGAGCAAGACTGGCGAGCCGGGCTGGGCCAGAGAGCAGGGAGAAGCCAGGGCCAAGGAGAAGCCAACTGGAACCTTGATGAGACAGAGGAGAGGCCCCTTGTCTCTGAAGCTGCCCAGCCCTCACCCCAGCCAAGGGAGAGGAAGGGAGGAGTGGGAGAAGGCAAGGAATGCCGGGAAACATGGGATAGCATGTCTGGCATCCAGGAGGAGGAGAAGAGGGAGAGGAGAGATGATCCCCCACTGCAGATACATGCCTTCTCCTCCTGCTCACCTTCAGGCCTTTGCTCACGCTGCTCCCCTACTCCGATGCCCTCCTCTCCTCTCCAGCCACCCACAGTCAGCTCAAGCCCACCTCCTCCATGCAGCCTGCCATGCCTAAACCTGGTTCTGCCACTAACTTGCAGTATGACATCAGGAAAACCATTCCTCTTTATTGGCCTGTGTTTTCCCATCTTATGTAAAAGGACTCATTTGTACAGATGCTTCTCTCTCTCCCCACTAGAACACGTATGTTCTAGGAAAGTAGGGTCTTTGCTGCCTACTGCTGTGTCCCTGGTGCCCAGCACAATGCCTGGCCAATAACGGATGCTTAAAATGTATTTGATAAATCATTTCCAAACATAGTTTCTGGAAGGGCTGGGGTGTCTGACACTTGAGTCTAGGCCTGCTGGTTACCCTGTCTCTGTGCCCCCACACCTGGTCCAGCCAGATCCATTCGCTGCAGTGAATGGCACATATAGCCTACCGGTTAACAGCAAAGGCTTTGGAGATTCAGACAAGTCAAGGTTTGAGTCCTTTCTTCACCACACACTAGCTGTGTGATTCAGCACAAGTTGCTTCACCTCTCTGAGCCCCAGTTTCCTCATCTGTAAAGTCAGCTCATGATACTAATTACCTCATAGGGTTGGAGAAATTATATAAAATGAAATATTGAGTCTAAAGTGCTTAGTACAGTACTTGGCATATTGTTACTGTTAAATGCTGTTGAGTCAGTTTTGACTTTTAGCAACCCCATATAGGGTTTGAACCACCAACTTTACGATTAGCGGTCCAGTGCTTATCCTACAGCACCACAACAGAAAACTGCTTGGCACATGGTGGTGGTGGTTGTATGCCATGGAGTCAGTTCTGGTTATGTGCCATGGAGTCAGAACCATCTCATAGTGACCCTGTACAGGGTTTCCGAGGCTGTAAATCTTTACGGGAACAGAAAACCTCATCTTTCTCCCACGGAACAGCTGGTAGTTTCAAACTGCTGACCTTAAGGTTCGCAGTCCAATTCATAACCATTACGCTACCAGAACTTAATAAACATGTCAGTTATTATTCTTAAAGTACAACTCTAATCATGGTCAAAACACTTTCACGACTCCCTAGTGCCCTAAGAAAATCTCAAACCCCATGACTGCCATTCACGGCCTTCACACAGCTCCAGCCCTGCCTGCTCTTCAGCCTCACTGGCTATCATGTCAATCCTCCAACCTCTTGGCCTCCCATCCACAGGGAATCCTTCCTCACCTCGAGGCTTAGCCTTCTGCCTTCTTCCTTTCTTTATCACCCAGGCCAACGCTGACCTGCAGGAAGCCTTCCCTGATGGCTGTGGCCCCTCTGCCCTCCCCCTCCTCTGAGCTCCCCTGGCACTGGCTGCAGGAGGTGAGCGAGGGGGCTCTGAACAGCCCACTGAGCCTCCATTTACTCTCTGGCAGGTTACTACCCGGCCTAGACAGTGAGCCTGGAGTTAGCAAGGCCAGGTCAGCATCCCCCACACAACAGGAGCTCAGGGTGTGGCCAGTGACAGCAGAAATGGTCAGGGCCAAGGCACTCACGTCTATATAGTTGGCGTTAATGTAGTCAGCATTGGGGTCTCCAAGCATTGGGTGGAGTTTCACTCGGTGGCGATCATCTGTAAACACAGAGCAGGTGCCAATGGCATGAGCTGGCGAACCCAGAATGGAAGCAGTCAGGGAAGGCTTCCTGGAGGCCAGGGCCAGGGCAGCTGGGGAACCTAGAGGTTCAGGACTAGCCAGTAGGTTCTGGGAACCAGCAGAGGCAGGACAGGCCAGGTGATAAAGTCTGGACTGTGGAAGCGAGTGGGCCAGAGGTTGCGTGATGGTCAGGCAATTATTAGCTATGTGACCTTGGGCCGGGGTTCAACCTGTCAAACCTCAGTTTCTTTATCTGTAAAATGGGGATTATAATATGAGAGCTAATGCATGTAACATGCTCACCACAGGATTTGGCACTAAAAAAACAAAAATGGCAGCCAATGTGACTATAATCTAAACCTGCCCCTCCCCCCATTTCTAGTTCTCTCCTACCCACTCCCCTTTCCATACCCTGCCCAGCACTCACAGGCAGGCATGGGCTCCTGACGACCACCCTTGAGCTTTTCTTTCTTCTTCGTAGCATCCCAGCCTTCAAAGAAGCTCTGCCAAATGGGAAAGTGGTCGTCAGTGCAGGAGGAGGACCCCTATGCTCAGATCCCTTCCCTTCAGGGACGAGACGTAAGCAGCATGGGAGCAAAGCCCAGGTTAAGGCTCGGTGCCAAAGTGGGGGGCCTCAAAATGAAGTCACTATGTTCCCCTATCAGGCAGGTACCAGGTGCAAAACCAAGGGATGTGTGTGGAGGGCCGTGTGAAAAGAGGGTCAGAATCCAGAGAAATTTTAGGTTACGAGTCCAAGTTGGGGTAAATCTAGATCTGGGTTGGGTCAAAGGGATAGGTCAGGGAAGAAGGTAAAGGTCAGGGTCAGATTAAAATTGGGATAAGGATAACGTCCAGTTGGAGGTAGAGCAGGATTCAAGTCAGAGTTCACGCAGGTCTAAGATTAGGGTCAGGATCAATACTGGACTGGGATTAGGTGAGAAGAGAGAGGTCAGGGTCACATGTGGCCATCAGCTCTGGATGAGGACTAGCATAAGGATCAGGGTCCAGGTGGAGGTAGCCATGCCATTCAAAGACAAGTTTCGGGTCAAAATTCGGATATGAATGAGAATCCAGATCAGTTTGGGATTAAGCTAAAGGCCTGGGTCAAGCCACAAAATCGTTAGGTTAAATTGCAGGGTCAGGGTCCCTGGCGAGGGGTCCTGGGCTGGCCGTGCACCTCGTACTCCTGCTTGAAGCCGTAGCCCTCGGCCGTCTTCATCTGGTTGATGTGCTGTAGTAGGTCAGCCACACGCACAGCCGGGTGCAGCTGCCCTGTGTGGTACGGGGAGCCCTTCCGGCCGCACGGCCGCCGTGGTGAGCCCCCCAGGAGGCTGCTGGCTTCGGTGACCCCTCCACTGCGCTGGTCTCCTGCAGTTAGGGAGGGAGGTTCTAAACATATGCCCCAGCCTGGGGACCCCGGATGGACAAAGGTGGAGGAGGATGGGGAGGGGTGAGATGGGGCACAGTGAATGTGGAGGGTGCCTTTATTGTTCATTTGAGCCAAAGCTATCAGGGCCCACCCTGTGTGACCCTGGGCAAGTCCCCTTCCTTTCTGCATTTCAGTCTTTTCACCTGAAAAAGGACCAGGTCAGGTCACGTGACCTCTGAGGCCCTCCCGCTCAGCTGTAAGGTAATTCTGTGTAGGATACCTTCAGTTCATCCCACTATTCTCAATGGAGGGGTGGGGGAGGTGGGAGGGTCGCTCCTCCCAGACTTCACCGCACTGCCAGCAGAGGGCAACACTCATACAGTACCTAGTACCCAAGATGTCTTTCTTCCTGTCTGTCCTATCTTTTCTTTCCCCAATCTGGAACACTGGCAATGCCCAGCCAGTAGCCCTACCAAAGGCAAGCAAATCCCGAAAATAGCTGCTACTGCCACCCCTTCTACAGATTAAAAGAAGACACCTGAATAGAGCCGTTTCTCCTATGCAACCATTTCCATTGTCAGCCTGTGCAGGGCCCTCAGCCAATGGGGGTAAAGGTCGAGAGATTCACAGTGTCCCCACATTCCCCATGGAAACTGTATCCCCAGTCCCACTGCAGTCCTTGGGCTCTTCTGGTCAACACCTCAAGAACATTCCCCCTTTCTCAGCCCCCAAGATCAGCTCCTGATGATGAGAAAGAATGCCCATTCAGCCACAACCACCTCCTACAGGCACCGGCACATGCTTACTTGTGGACCCCTCATTTCCCTCCTCCTGTCTGGGGTGAGGCTGCAAGAGGCCCACTCCAGTCCAACTCTAAGCATTTCTCCAGCTGTTCTCTGCCAGGCCAAAGCACTTAGGGGGACACCCTGTGTAGCCTGGATGTGTACCTTCTCACTCACCTGTACCTTCCCACATGCTGTACCCTTCTCCTTCTTTTTGTTTATGTGAAGTGATGCTCCTACCCAGTCTTTGGGTCTCCTCTGAAATGACCCTCATGGTGGGGGCAGGGGCGGGAGGAGAAGGGGGGACTTCCTTAGTGCCCTTAGCTTTCCTTAGCTCCATGGGCATCCATGATCCCTTTCTAAGGCAATCTGCTAATCATTTGTCTCACCCAAAGAAACTGTCTGCCTGGCTCAATACTCTAGTCCAACCCAGTGTGTGACCCATAATTCCTACTCAATGACTAATGGGCAGAATAAATACACAATCACCAAAACAGATCCCCTGCTGCGCCCTACAAAATGCAAACACGCTCCTGGCCAGGACTTGGGCTGCTCTCTGACAGGGAATTATAGCGGGCAGCCTTTCTTCAAAGACCTAGGTTATTGTGATTGTTAAGTACTGTGAAGTCGGCACTCAATATATGACTGGTCTTTGGAAGAGCTGCTTCCTCAAAGTAGAGTTGACCTTCATGACATGAAAAGAGCAAAACCTTCAGGTCCTTCATTTGCTTATGGGGCACAACTCAAAAAGGAGAAAATGCTGCAAACATCCATTAATAATTAGAACATGAAATTATGAAGTATGAATCTAGGTTGTATAAGGTTTCTGAGGAGCGGCTGGTGAGTCTGACCGCCGACCTTGTGGCTAGTAGTCCAGTGCTTATCCTACAGTCACACATCAGGACCACTAAAGACTTACGTTGTGTAATCGATTCCAACTCATATCAACAAAACTGTATGGGGTTTCCAAGGCTATAAATCTTGACGGGAGCAGAAAGTCTCCTCTTTCTCCTGTAAAGCTGCTGGTGGATTCAAACTGCTGACCTGGTAGTTAACAGCACAATTTGTCACCCACTACACTACCAGGGCTCCTTTCAAAGATCTACAGAGTGAATGAAATGGGACAACCTTTGTCACTTATACAAGGGAGCTTCAAAAAGTTCAGAAAGGGAATAAAAAGATCACAGAATTTCTCAAGCATTTAATAACTGACCTGCAAGATATTTTTAACACAGAAGTGACCTTCGATGGTTAAGTGTTAACCAATATGGTAGTCTTCCTAGCAGAAAGAATTTAACAAAATGAAACATGGCAGAAAGCATGAGACTACCCATCACAGGACTGAGATTCAGTAGCCAGAGTTGAAAGGAAGGTTGACCCCAACTAGCTTAATCCCTTAATTATTTAGTCATCAATTTACATCAAATATTAAGGCATAGTTTATATGAAATAAAATATATGCATTTGAAATACACAGTTAAGTGAGTTATACATCCCAGTAATCACCACCCCAACAAAGAATTATCTGTCATTCCTAAAGGTTTCTCCCTTTATTACAGATTTATTTCACCTTTTCTAGAATTTCATATAGATGGGCTCACACAGTACGCACTACTTTGTGTCAGTTCCTTAGTTCAGCATGTTTTTGAGATTCACCCATGTTGTTACATATATCAATAGTTTGTTCCTTTATAGCACTGAATAGTATGGTATGAATAGATCACATGTGTTTATCCATTCTGCTGTTGATGAGCATTTTGGCTGTTTTCAGTTTGGACCTATGGTGAAAATGCTGTCATAAACATTCATGTACAAGCCTTTGTGTAATTACATGTTTTTTATGAATAACTAGTAGTGGAATTCCTGGGTCACAGATTAAGTATAGGTTTAAATTTATAAGAAACTTCCAAACTGTTTTCCACATGTGTCTACACTTCCACTAAATATATGCGTTCCATTACTCCTTCTCATCAACAGAATAGTCAATCTTTTCATTCATACACATTCTAGTGGATCTCCCAAGAGGAAGGACTGCTAATTGGAAAATATGGCCTTGGTGATGGAAATGACCAGACAGAGCTGGAGCACACATGATAGAATTTTGCAAGCTCAATAACTTCTTCATTGCAAATACCTTTTTTCAACAACATAAATGGTGATGATACACGTAGACCTCGCCAGATGGAAAAGCTTGCTATCATCAGTCAAAACAAAGCCAAGAGCTGACTGTGCAATAGACCATCTTTGCTCATATGCAAGTTCAAGCTGCAGCTGATGAAAATTAAAACAAGTCCACGAGTGGGGCAAGATGGCAGAGTAGACAGATGTGTGAAAAAGCAGGCCTTCTGAAATAAAGACATGATACAACAAGCTTTAGAAGATAGGACAGAAAGGTGGATTGAGTGCTGACTAAAAGCAGAAGTTGAACAAGAGCAGAGAGAGAGGATTAAAATGGGCAGGCCACAAGCTGGTGTGGAGTGACACAGGCCGAATAAGCTTGTGTGAGCAGCTGTTAACACAGAGGCCTTCAGACACAGAACATGGCTTTAGGTTGGCGTTAGTGGGGATGCAGCAGTTCTCCCTTGTTCCATGCCTTCCTGGTAGCCAGGGTGTGTCCAGGCCCTGCTCTCATCAACCCAGTGGCCAGTGGCATCCTTCTGCACAGGCTCTACTCTGCCTGAGATGGGGTCCCAGGAGAGTCACCCCTTCTTCTGGAGGCCCATGAACCTACCCTGAACTACACTACACAAACAGGGAATAGAGAGCTGCATTCACACTTCCAGTCTCAATCACATCCACCAGGAGACAGGTGATGAGTGCCTAAGAACACAACATACAATCATCAATTAAAGTTAAATGCAATAACACCACAATGTCTCAGAGAAAACCATTTCATCTTATATGAAGAAATAAGACAGAATGCCTCAACAAGTGTCCAAAATACTGTCAGAAAACATAATGCCAGAAATGGTACCAGAACTACTTGATGAGGAATTTTAAAGAATGATATTTATGTGACTTCAAAGTATTGAGAGAAAGATCCAGGAAAACAAGGAGAACACAAATAAAACTTTAGAAGAACTCAGGAAAATACAAAAACAAACTCACATAAGAAATGAGAAACTGGAAGCCAGATAAAAATGGCAATTAGAAAGCCAAAAGATTAATATTACGAATTCAGAAATAGATGGTATATTGAAAGGGCAAAGAAGTAGAACTGAATCAATGGAAGGTCAAAATACTGAACTTGAAGACAGATATCTCAATATTCATCTGCTAGAGGAACAATCAAGAAGAAAATCTGAAGAAAGCCTAAGATTTATGTGGGACACCATCAATAACTTACATGTAATTGGAATTTCAGAACTGGAAGAGATACACACCCACAAAAAAAACAACAGAAAACTGTCCAGGAATTGTTGGAAGAAAACTTTCCTAACATCATGAAAGATGAGAAGCTAGCCATTCAAGAAGTTAAACAAACTCCAAACAGGATAGACCCCAAAAGAACATCACAAAGACATATTATAATCACACTTCTCAAAACCAAAGGCAAGGGGGGAAAAAATCCTAAGAGCAGCTCAGAAAAAAACAAAAAGTTACCTACAAAGGAGAACTAAAAAGACTATGGTCTGATTTCTCAGCAGAAACCATGCAGGCAAGAAGACAATGGGATGATATATATAAAATTCTGAAAGAAAAAATTGCCAATCAAGAATGATACACTCAAGGGAGAACAGCAGAGTGCGGGACCCTACCCAGATAAACAGTGATGCCAGAGATGAAGGCAGAGACCATGACATGGAGAGATGGAGCAGCTAGGAACTCTAGGACCAGAGAGGGAGAGGGGCTATGTGCACACAACCAGGGGGCAAGCTTGCAAGGCATACTCTTTGGTTGGTTGATGATACATGAGGGGATGGTAACCATGGCAATGAAACGATATATGATAGGATGAATGTAAAGCTAATCCTATCACATAATTCACAATAAAATATTTAAAAAAAAAAAAAAATATATATATATATATACATATAGCCTCAGAAAGCCTATTCAGGATCACTATGAGTTGGAACCAACTACACAGCACACTACCACCATCTCCACTGCCCCAGTTGGGCTGCTTACTTTTTACATAGAATATTAAAAATATAAAATGTTTTTATCAAAATAAACTTGTAAACCATTAAAAAAAAAAAAAGAATGGCATACTCAAA